TTATTCTTTTTATGACCTTAGTGAACAGTTTCAAGACTGAGCTCAGTAGGGTTATGCCCCTATAGTTTTCTGACGATTTTTTGCCCCCTTTTAAGGGGCAGATTTTTTAATTTTATTATGATGTTTGCCGTAATCTAGGTGCCCAGGTATTTGTAAAGGCTAAGTAAGCCCCATTTTCTTTGGGAAATAAAACACATTATTTATTTGCAAACTATGGAAACTTTTACTTCATTATAAAGTACGATGGAAACACTCTATGAAACAAAACACCCTTTAAATGTCCTCCACGAAATCGCTGACAGGGATGAATTTGTTGAACCCAATTTTCCATGAGCCTCTCAAACAATTCAGCTCGAATATCAGCAATTACTCGTTCAATATTGATCTGAAAAGCGTGTAACTTTGCTGGATGATTGCTGTAAACGAATCACTTTATGTAGCCGCAAAGAAAGATGTCTACTGGAGTTAAATTGTAGGAACAAGGAGGATAATTAATCGGTCCATTTCTTGAAATAATAGAATCACCGAATTTTTCTCATTCGTCTTGCTGGAACTATTTGTTCTCCAAATCAAAACGAATCAATTCAGGCCATTAAAAATCAGTCAACATTGCACGATTACGATTTCCGTTGACAGTTACAGCCTGTAACACTGTGTTGAGTTGCGCTTTTGAGTAGCGCTTTTGAGTTGTTGCCGCTCTCTGAGTTAATGAGTTTTAACTCATTGTTTAATGTTTTATAACTCATGACCGATGACGGAATTTTAACATCTAACAAAAAAGCCAACAACTAAATCCGGAAATTTTGAAGAAACTTTAAAGAATTTCAGAGCGATGAGGTTGACGAGTTTTCCAAATATTGATTAAATGGTTTTGCTTTCTCTGGTCGTTTATTGAGAAAACCTATTTTTGTCGAAAAAAAACAAGATAACTTTGTTTCGATTTTTCCAGTTTTCCAGTATTTTACAGTAAAACGTTAGGAAAAAACGTGTTGTTCTATTTTGTTTAGAAATATTGACCTAAAATGAACAAACCGGAATTTGAATATAACGAATTATTCACAGCGACAAAAGTGATCAGTTTTCCGAATAATTGATTATAAACTTTCACTTGTTCTGTTCGAGAAAATATTCTTGGAAAAAATTATTAGGGTTTTGTCCGAAATTCGAAGCTGCAAAAGKTTTCAGAAAAAAAGATTACAAAGTTGTTCAGGAACCGAGTRTTTCTGATGCTCCTGAAATGGCTCCTGTTCAAAATTTATTTTATAATTTTCAGAAGAAATACCTAAAGATTTTCAGTATTTTAAGTAAGATTGAAAATAATAGCTTTTTGCGTAGAAAGAATTTCTTAATAGAAACTTTGTTAAAACTGGACTGACCTGAAATTTTAAAGAAGCTTGAAAAATCTTCAGAGCGATGAAGGTGGCAAAAAGTTTTCCAAACATTTTTGCAAAACTGTTAAGGAGGCGAATGTTCCAATAAAATGTATGTTATAATTTTCACAGAAAATACCTGAAGGTTGCCAGTATTTTAAGTGAAACTAAAAAATAATGCGATTTTTGCGAAGGAAGAATTGCTTAATAGAAACATTGTTAAAACTGGAATGACCTGAATGAATGAAACTTTAAAGGAACTTTAGAAATCTCCGCAGCGGTCAGGCGGCGAATTTTTCTTGTAAATTTTTGCTTTCTAGTTGTTTTTATAGTCCTAATTACTTTCGGTAGAACCTGAATAAAATTATTTGGTTTTTGTGCCAAATTCGAACCTGAAAAGGGGGTTCTAAAGTTCCCTGCGAACCAATGAATGAGGCGCATTTTCTAGTAAAATAAACGGGGTCATTTTTGGCTGAAAAGACCAGAAAATATTGTTTTTTTGGCGTTTTTGATTAAATGCCTTTAGTTTTGCGATCAGTTTTGAAGAAAACCTTAATGGTTTTCGGGAAGCGCCGTATTGGCGCGCTAAATAGAAATTCAATTTTAAATTGCTTCTAAGAAAACTAAAATAACAACAAAATTGTAGAACGGTTAATTGACCATAAATGAACAGAATAAGCAAAGAGAAAAATCTGCAAAGGGCCTATTCTGCTTGTTCAGAAATGAGCTTCATCGCTGAGAATTATTTTCTTTTGAAAACCTGATAATTTCCGATTTTTGAAAAGCCCCAATTACTGAATTCAGGTTGCATTAAATGATCAGTTGCTTTGAGTTCTTGCGTGAAAACAATTTTGTATGAATGTAATCAAAGTCTTTTCATAAAATTCACCACAAAGACGTCTTGGATATGTCTAGTTCTTGTGTGGGACGAGAAATCGATAAGTTCGATGATATTCACGAACACTGTTCCGTACAGCAGCAATATTTGTTTCACCTCTTGCAGATCTTTGTTTCACTGGCACTACAACATGATGAAGTGTAAAATTTTGTTTCCAGCTTTAACACTAAACGTTCGGGTGTTCTTTTATCTGGACGGTGAAAAAGACCAAAAATGGGAGTTAATGCACGAAAAGTTTGAGCAACAGAACGCGATTTTTTATTATAAATTTGGATTCTTTGTAAACGTTGTTGAAACGTGAGCCGTTCCATAATTAAATAACAGATATTTACAAATACAAATACAATTTTCACAAACAAAATTTGCCGCCGTACGTGATAAGCGCCAATTTAAAAACCGGGCGTTTTCAATGAAAGACCCTTTATTTTTAACCCTTTCTATTTATTGACCAAATTTATGCGTGATTTCATCGTTATTACCATATACTTGGTCTTTTTCCTGTTCATTTTTAGTTAATTTTTGTTTCGTTCGTAGTTCGTAGTTTTTCGTGTTTTATCTTATGTTGTACCTCATGAATATCCAAATTTATGTCTTGACACCTCTGTGCGAAAACATTTAGTGCTAACACCGAATCTCTCGTGTTTAGTCGGTTTCTGAACCCAAATCGACTATCATTTATTCCTCCTTCTGTTTTTTCTGATGGGTCCATGGATTACTTTCAAAAATGCCTTCTCGGTGCATGACTTATTAAATATATTGTTCTGTATTCTCAGCAGTCTTTCGCGTTTGTGGTTTTTGGAACAGCGCAGCAAGTAGGGAGTAACCATTGTTTTGTATACTACGTTAAATAAGTCCTATAGTATCGTCGTTCATAAATTTGAATATTTCGACTGGGATTTGATCTGGACCTACTACCGTCTCATTTTTTATGTTTTTTTATCGTTATCATTTCTGCTTTTAATATTTTTAGAACCACGTTACTTTCTACTTCAGTTTCCACTTGTCCTGTTCTATCAGCTTTAAACACCTCGTTCATATATTCTGTCCATTTCTATAGTTTTTGATTTATATCCAAAATTAGCCTTCCTTTTAGACCCTTGAGTATTCCCGGTTTTCCTTCTTTATTCGTCCAAGTCGTATCTTTTATCTTTTCATGGGTCTTAAATCAGTCAGGCTTTCTCCGGTACTCCTCTATCTCATCGCACTGTTCCTTTACCTTTCTTGCTTCCTTTGTTTGTTTAATTTCATGCTTTATTTGTTTGTCTCTATATTTGGTATCATCTTTGTTTTCTAACTATCTCCTTTCAATTAAGTGAAGGATTTGCGGACAAAAAAGAACTTATCAACTGAATGTTTCCCAAAACTAAAACCAAAAACTGACAAAGTGGATATACCAAGTTCTGTATATAGAGTGAATTGTTTAGAATGTGATAATATAGTGCAAACTAAACAATATTTAAGAAAGAGAATACATACAGTCTGAGAAATACTAGTGAAAATAAAACAGCATTAACACAACATGCACACCAAATGTTGCATAATTTTGATTTTGACAACGCACATATATTAATTAGGAAAACAAATTTTCATAAAAGAAGAATCCAAGAAATTATACAAATAAAAAAACATGCAAAAGCAGTAAATTTCAGATCAGATTCCGACAACCTTAGCAATATTTACCAAACCCTAATAAAGCCATAAGTATGGAACACCCAGTACACTATGAAAATTTAAAACTATTTCTGCTTATCTCAATACATGTATACCACTCTCGCAAATGTAGACAATAATTCAGACAAATTTAAGTTTCAAGAAGGCAAAGACCTAAAAGAACGTTGATTTTTACCAATCATGAGGTAAGTTTTTCCAGTGTTTTGCTCTCCCAAACGGAAGGATTTTGTTCCCTCAAAAACTGATGAATGTTTTAACACTTTGTAAATTATAGTTTCTATACAACATGTTTTAATTTTGAATTGGTGTTTGTAGTTTGTGTAAATTTTAAATCTGATGATGGCGCTGTTGTCTCGCCGAAACGTAATAAAATAACCGATGTTCAAAAATTTTTACTTCACACTTTGACTGAGACCCAGGAAAGATAAGAATATCGTAACAAATACACGTAGTCAGGAAAATAAATCAGAATATTAAGAATATCATAAAAATCTGGACTGCAAAAGACTTTCAGTTTTTACCTAGATGGTAACAGTAAATAAAGCGAATAGTGAAAGCTCCCAGTTCCACCTCGAATTTATAATGCCTAGATGTATGGTTCAAAAACAATAATTAACAAAGAACGACAATGGCTACAGTGACTGGGCACCGCCGCAGATGCTACGCTAGTGCTACTTTCTTGATCGTAAACTTTTACTTTTCGTCTGTGAGAGAACGTGTTACATATTCCATATGGTCAACGACCAGAAAATAACCAATGTGTTTAAAAGTAAACATTTCAATTGGTAGTATTAGCGCCGCAGTGAATAACAGGATAAATTCATACGAAATATATCATTTATATACTTTTGGTAAATTATTTGAATGTTGACATAGCTGCAAAGCAATAACGTTTGGTCCTCTTAAATAATAAGTAAAAATAGACGTTCATGTGAAAGGTAGCTTTTAAAGAAAAACGGCATAGAAATTACCATGGGTGAGTGATACTTGAATCATGTGTATGTTTTTATTATTTTTGTTAATCTGGTTTGGTCTGTTTCAATAAATTAACAAAGCGTTTTCTTTCAAGTTTTATTAACAAAAATCAACAATACAAAAATAAAATTAGCAACAAGGTAGATGTAGGGATGAAAGGGTGAATGGGAATGGGAAAACAATGGCTTAAAAATAGGGTAAAGATGACACGTAGATTCAGCACACCGTAAACTTATTGCCATCCTTTGCCACCATGGTCGACGTACTTTTCGTGTTTGGTTTCATGGTAAACATGCTTGTATACTGGAACATGGACGGGGTATGGCTTGTTGACGTGCACTGGGTAGTGTTTCTCGATTTCCACCTTGTAGGGCTTCTTGATGTAAACAGGCACCAATTTCTCCACGTGAATGGGGACCTTCTTTTCAATCTCCTGAGGTACCAACTTGTAGATCGGAATGGGAATTGGTTGCGGTACATTGATGTGCACGGGATAGGGTTGAGGTACTGGTACTTTAATAACTTGTGGGACTGGAACTCCCACTGGATGGGGAACAGGGACCCCTACTTTCTTTACGATATGAACTGGCACTGCTTTCGTCTGTTCGAAGTGTTTAGTAGGTGCCTGGTGGTACTCTATTTGTCCACCGCCGTCGCCTCCGCCTCCGCTGGATTGCCATCCTTGGTCGCCTCCTTCATAGTCATGACCGCCACTTAGGTCATATCCGCCTCCTCCTTGGTCATGACCTTCACTCTCTGCATATCCCGCTAATGTTGAGCCCAACGCCAGAGCGAGCATGAAGGAAACACCCTGAAAAAAAGTAAATAAAAAAATTATCAAGTGTTTACTAACTTTCTTTATAGGAAGCATGCTCTGCAATTTTTTGCAGGACTATGCCTAGGTGGGGAGTCTTACTAATTTCAAATCTTAATACAAAACCTTTGATTTGATTGAGTCGCAAATTAAAATTAGTGTAATTTTCATAGCAATCAAAAAAACACCAACGAGAAATTAAATCAGACTGAAATTATGGAGTGTTAAAATCTCTAAACGAATTTTACATGCGATTTTATCGCTGATAAATGTGCCAGCAACGTATCTACAGATCGCGAATCAGAATTGCAAAAGCACTGAATTTTCAAACTATTTCTTATCAACATTCAATACAAACTGTTTCAAAGTTGAGAAGAACACAATGGAAATTTTGTAACTAAAGCGCCAATTTTTAGTGAAACGTTATAAAATAAAACAATGATTTGTACTCACAATTACTTTCATTTTGTATCAGCTCGAGAAGTGAAAAGCGTAAAGAAAGTCGAACCGCACTGATGATCCTTGCTGAGAGCGTTTACCTTTTATAATAATCTCCAGGTGGGGTCGTTACAGTGAAAGGCCTTATAAGATTGATGTTTCTAGTGTATAATAAGAAAACAGTTTTGTCAAAAATTTGTGATCCGCAAAGATCGTAATCGGATTTTTAGAATGCTGGGTTTTTCTTCGTTTCTGTTCTTGACCTTGCAAATTCTACAATTCGCTTCTGTTGGTTTGAGGAAAATAATCCATTACTTATGATGGACTGGTAACAAAGTTTTTGTTGCAATAAAATTGTTGGCGTTCGGAAATTCAGCAACCCTTAATAGCATAATAAATGTCGCATTTACCAAACATGTGCAGCTATCAGTTACTAGTTAGAAATTCAAATTTAATATTCCATAATTTTACTTTTGAATCAATATGTTTACAGTTTTCACAAATTTGCATCGAAATTAGTACAATTTAAAAATGAAAATGAAGACTTTGAATCATACTGTGTAGAGGACCACACAAACAAACTACACCAAACAGGATTAAAAACAATTGGAAATAAAGGTTTAGATAAAAAACTGAAAGAAAATGAACGTAGTAATCTAAATCCTGGTGCCAATTTTAATCAAGAAATTATCAAAATATTAAATGTTACTAAATCAAAAACCAAACTTGTACAGTGGATGTGTTGAATGTCGTTACTTTAGAGCAGTCGTTACTAATCGTTGCTCTGACATAATATAATAATTCAAACTATTTAATATGTTGATTAACGTGTAGAACGTAACATAAATACGGTTTTCCAATTTAATTCAATTTGTCATCTTTATAGACAAAATTTGCAGGCCAAATAATAAAGCTAATATGTATATGTAACTTTTAATATTTATCTAAAATGTACGGTAAAAATTCAGTCAATCTTCCTTAGCTGGTATTAATGTAAACGTAAAAGTTAAACTTAAAAGCCGACACATGATGAGACAAATTATCAAAGATCAGCAAATAGTTTTATTAAATTCAAATGTTTATGAAAGTTTGACAATCAATTTTCTGACCATAAATTTTTTACTAGCAAACCAAGAATGAGGAGTATTGATTCCCTAAATAAAATGAAAAAATTTCTTGGTTATCACATTAAGTTAGAATAATTTTAAAATTGTATGTATTTATGCTTACAGAAAGAAGTGACCAAAATATATATTTTGCATGTTAAAAAGGAATTCCCAAATTTACAAAGAGTTTGCGATCCCTCTGCACAAAAACACATCAATAGCAACAGCTAAAATTATTTCTTAACGTTCCAAAAAAGAAAATATTGAGAAATCTGTAATAAAATAAGGCGAAACCTAACTAATCTGATAATCGACCAAATATACGTACGAAGTCGATGGCTCTTGAAAATGTGAGCAAATATTTGAAAAAATTATTTTGTGTGCAGAACTTTAACTATCCGTAAAAGTAATCTATGATATAAGAGTTTTAAACTGCTTCTATGAATTAAATTGTTCTTGAAACTGAATATTTATTTGAATATACGTTAAAGAAGGGTTTGACAATTCGAAATTCAGATGCAAAAAGTTCTTCAACGGATGCAAAAACTCTGTCAACGTCATTCTAAGCAGTCTGCTGGAGAACTGCCGAGTGACTGCAACAATTAGCTTTCACTTTCTCAGAAGAACTTGCTTGTAATACACATTAGCACTGTGTTGTAGTATTAAGTTGACGATCTTGAAGCGTACAATTTAAAATCTAACCACAAAAACAAATCTGTAAAGCTTACATGTTTGTACGTCAATATCTGGCTTCATACATGACTGTAATTTAAGTACTCAACTAGCAATTTTGCGTCAGTTTAAGTTTTATCAACAAATGTTATAATTGGCTTAATTAAAAATGAAATCCATAGTATAGCTGACAATATATATGAAATGAATGGCTGCATATCTATATCTAATCAGCAATCATATACGCCGACCATCATAACACAGGTTTATAGGAATACTTAAGCGTGAGACAAATAATGATGTATTTTCATGTGTTTTAAAAACGTAGAAATTAATTTGTGTGTTTTAAAAACATTAAATTTTAACTTATACTTTTACAATTTTAAACTTAATATTATTGCTACTTTCTTCGTAATACTTTAAATAAAATTTTTGATGTCATGATTAAACCTTTATTTATTTTTCAGTACATTTATGTTTAAGTGCACGTTTCAGTGAATTATAATTTTCATGTAGTCGGCTCGTTACTTTACGATCTAAAACGTATACCAGGTTAGCAGTGTATTAACTGCAACCATTATAACTCCTAGCATTAGTACTTATAATAATAATTACTATACTGATTGTGAAAAAAATATGAAACACTAAGAGGTCTATAGAAATGAATGGTATGGATAATTTAAATTTATTATTTTACTTTTGATTTCTCCAAAAATATTTTTGAAAACCGCTACACTCAGTTAAGTAAAATCGAAATTTCATAATTGAGATTTAAAACTCAACTAAAACGAATTTATTCTTGGCGTTTTGCAAACACCAGTACCTTGGGTTCAGAGAACTTTTTCACTCGAAAACTTACACACAACTGAAGATTTAGAGAGAAACTTCACTGAGAATGCAAGCCACTCGTGCATGGGAAACATCAAAAATAAATTATTTTCCACGGCTCCTTAAAATCCTGACCCTGGTTATAAAGTTTGAGAATAAAAATTCTCAACTACTTATGTTCAACCTAAGTATTCCTACTTCTGCTGTGGAGCGCTGCAAAATTCGATTTTTTTACGAAATAATTTTGTCGTGTTCTCTAAATGTATCAATAGGTTTCCGTATCCGTATCAAAAGTGCAAACGTAATATTGACAATTTCAATTTACATGAAATTTTATTTATTTCAAGTGGTAAGAAAATAAGAATATCTCAAAAAATTTAATGGAAAAGTATCTAAACAATAATTGTTTATAATCATAATATCGTCGTATACAAGAGAAGGTCCACCTACCGATATTACTTTTGCGTTGTTAATACTTTCATAATTTGCTTATTGTTTTAGAATATTTTTTTTACATCAGATTAGTTTGTTTTTTTGATTTTTTAGATATTTTATTATCGTCTCTCACCAATTTTTTTTTTCTAATAAATAATATTGCATTGCAACGGAATTTATTTAATTTACATAAACATTACCAACTATACATTGATAATCTTTACACTTGATCACCGTCTCATTTATAGGTATCGACAATATGTACAAAGCCGTTGCCATCTACTACTAGCTTTTGAAAAAAATTAAGCGATCATTCAGTTGCTTTTATTAAATATCAGTTTTAAACTTTAGATGTTAAACAAAACGTTTCTAGTGAAACGGGGGCATTTTTTTTTGGTGTGAACATTAATTTTTTAAAAGTTTTCAAACAATATTATTCCAATATAAACATAATATAAAAAAGTCTGCATGACGGAACGCTCGACAGAAGTGATAACTTCATATTATTTATAGAAACCATAAAATAATGAACTTGTTTAACGCATAATGGCAATACTAATTTATAATTTCAATATTCTTGTTGGTCTAATAATTTATAAATATATCAGGAATATGTAAAATGTCATTTAATTTCAACGGCCCTCATACTACACAATATTATATACACAAAAGCGGCGCACAGACTGCACACTAATATATTCAAACGGCCTAAACGACGATTCAAACAACACCTTTCAAATAGAGGGTGTTTTAGAGCTTTGGTATGAAATATTTTAGGAAGTCAATGGACAACATTTGACTAGAAGAATCCATGTCCTAAAATGTCTCATTAGGGCGCTAAGGCCTTATGATGCTTTAAGACGATTTTGAACAAAATTATGATTTGTCGAGTTTTAAATTATTATAAAAAAAACAGGCTGCAGACTGATTATGCAGGAATCAGCTAACTTTTACAATTTACTTTTACAGCATTACAGTCGAGCCTGACCAGAACTTTACTTAGAGGCTTAGTCAAGGCTTACTCAAGGGAGAAATTAATAGACTGCCAGTTTACTACAAGCATTGTTTGTGGTTTGCAGTTGCATCCAGCGTATATGACTTTTGTGCGTTAAATTTAAATTTATGTAGTTCTGTCATATTCACATCAAATAATCCAATATGTATGTTAATTTAAATACGTATAGTACATGTGTAAGCGCCGGTTTATTCGCTTTCTGATAAACTTGCAGATAAAGGATTTCTGTTGTTTCATTGGTGAGATTCTGTGAGATAAACTGGCTCAGCGAATGTTTGCATAAGGGTGTCACAGTGTTAAAGAACAGAGAAGGCGATTAATAATCTAAATTAATTAAATCAAAAAATATAATTTATTGCCACAGAAAGATTCAAACGAATGTTGTGGACAATGTCATTAAATTATCACAAAAGCAGCAAAGTTGTCATTTGCTGCCAGATGCATTTGCCTTTTTCATTATCCTGTTATCTCTAAGACAAAATTACCAACAAATTTATCACAGAATGATTAATACGGCCCTAAGTCGTATATTCAGTTTGCTGAATGTACAGATTCATTGCAATTAACAAAATATATTTTTTAAAGTCGGTACCGCTTATAGTCCATATCTGTAACACGACCTGTATAAATTTAATCCTATAAGCAAATAAGCAAAGAGAGCGCAATGAAAACTCCATCTTTATATAAATCAAATATAAAAGCTAAACACATTTTATACTTAACAAGCATTTTTTGTATATCTATTTTACGGTTGGTTCATGACCTACGTAGGTAGAGTCGGCCTACAAATCTAGTCATATGGCAGTCAAGTATATCAATTTCCTAGCTAAAAGTGACGGTGATATCCATTCACTTCCACACGAGATTCCGTGAAGGAATGTCTCATGCGTGAAGATTACTTGAGCATAAAACAAATATTTATTATTTCAAACAAGGTGTCCAAAGTTAGAAAAAAAATTACATCAAAATTCCAGTCACTTATTATAGTAGCTGATAGATCAAATGGTTCCGGAGGCAGATTTCTATAAATAGGGAAGCTTTTATGAGAAA